AGGAGCAGCAGCAGCAGGAGGAGCAGCAGCAGCAGGAGGAGCAGCAGGAGCAGCAGCAGCAGCAGGAGCAGCAGCAGGACCAGCAGGAGGAGCAGCAGGAGCAGCAGGAGGAGCAGCAGGAGCAGCAGGAGCAGGAACAGCCTTTCAAGTGCGGTTGACCAGCCGAATCCAGGTTTGATACGCTTGTGCTTTCAGCATCACAATCTATCAACACACATAGAAACTACGGTTATATAGTAATACGTTGTTTGGCTCCTGTGTCTCAAGCAAAAGTTGCTTTCGATCTTGAGAACTGTAGACAAGCGCCCTGCAACCACGTAGCCTGACATGGAAATGGGCTGAAATGGAAAGGAGCGGCGAGAACGAAGGTTGTTTTTTGCTTGGCTGAGTGGTCGTACCTCTATAGAAGCAAAGAAGGGCGTATAGGACAGCACAAACTGGTGGTTTCTGCAACCAACCCACCATAACTCTCAGCTCAGGCTGAACAATCGCTACACTGGCCAATGGGTCTGGGGAAGCCATTGGCTTGGTTTTTTGTCTGTTAGTTTGATGTTGGGCTTGAGGGGCAGAAGCTGCTTCCTTGAACTAAGGGCGACAAGGAGTTGGAACCTTTTATTATGCAAATGGAGCTTACTACCATGGAGAAGAGCTGGCCTGTTGAAATAGCACAATCACGAAGCAGCCCAACAGCGAACGGGCCAGGATTGGAAAGGCAATGTGAAAGAGGGGCATGGTCGACATACATTCGATGATGGCAAGGTTTATGATGAGCCGAAGTCCAAGCCATACAAATCAAAAAAATCAATGCGTCCAAGAACTGCATGTTCTTGCTGAGTGTGCTTTTCTCAGGAAGTTTGAGGTTGACCGCATGGTTGACTACAGTTTCGCACTCAGACAGTTTGCAGCTTTGCCTTCTTCGACCGAGAACAGACATGACGAAAGGCAAGCCAGAAAATCCGAAAGATGAAAATCCAGTGTGTGGTTCGGATCTTGGAAAAAATTGATTGCACAGTAAGACCTCTAGTTTGAAGTTGAGGCTGCACAGATATTTCGGACTTGGAACCAATTCTCAGGCAGGATGATTGAAACAAAATGACAAGTGCTAGACTTGAGTGAATCACCAAGCACTTGCAAAGTCAATTCAGTGGCTCGTTTGCTTGGCTAAAGCCCAACCTGAGAGGCCAGCCGACCGGATTGGACTTGTAAAGGCACCCCTTATTGGTGACTTTGGCTGCATTCTTGTTCAGTTCAGATGGCTTCGGATCGACTTGCTGAAACATGAATGATATAGCGCAAGCATCAGTCACTTGGCCAAGGCTTTGCAGAGCCTGCCAAACTTTTGCCCGCCTCTGAGTGACTTGTACTTCACTTCGTGATGCAGCTCCGCTCAGTACTGATTTTTCTTTCTTCTTATTTTTAATCCTGCTAAGGAGGGGAATTTTCAACGTCCTTCTTAGGCCGTAGACAAGGTCCTAGTGAATTTGACAAGTACTGTTCGATGCCAGGCATTTGGGAGACTTGCGGGAGGTCCAGCTGGCAGTGGGAGTCCTGTCGAGCACTTGTGGTTCCACTTAAAGTGCCAGGCTTACTCCCGTTCAAGAGCAGTCCAACCTCTTCTTGGAGAGGACCGCACTAGATTCTTTGAGTCTATAGCTTGGTCTTCCCGTTGGGCAAGGATCCACATGTTATTACACTGGTCCAATTCTGGAGCTTGGCCAGAGATACAGGCGTCCTCACGCCCAAACCTTGGCAATCCATTGGGGGCCGGCGAAGAGCTGTGCTTCACGTCGGTTCTTTTGAAGGAGACAACATTTCAATACACTTCATCATGATTGGTCAGCTACACATGAGGGTGCATGCTCTTCACTACCAACTGCAGCTTCTTCCATGTGTGTAATTTGCTGCAGTTTCCACTTGCCAGATGCCTTTTGTGTTTCTCATCAACGGTATACGATGCCAAGCTGGCATTGTACATCAGTAATACCGATACGGTTTGAATCTCCACAGATTGTCGCTAGAGCACCGGACAAACGATGGTCACAATGGATGAATCCCTCCATTGCTAAGGCCCAACAGTTCCATTGCTCGGTTTGATCGAGCAATTTTTTCTGGACCCAGGCCATTGCCGTCATCGTCCTATTTTTTCAACATTTGCTTATGCCAAGTTCTCTTAAATCTGGAGGCACCTCAGTGAGATGGCACCTGAGGATGAGAAGGAGAGACTTCGGGGTGTGTAGACAGAAACTGAGGTGCTGGTATTGAGGCCATCCAATCCAATGTGAAACAACCTGTAAAACCTTAGCATCACGGTGCCACACATGGTTATGTGTTATGTGTGAACACAGGAAGAAAGCAGATCGTCCAGGCAGAGCCATACACATGCTATTCTGGATTTCTTTTGTTCCAACCCCAACCTGTGAATATGCTTATTTGTGTGCGGTGCTGTATGGCGGACACAATGACGACAACAAGATTCTACCGCCAGCGGAACACACACACACACACACACGTGGAAATCGTGTGATACAGCAGTGAATCCGTGGTTTGTAATCTAGACAAAGTCCATTGAAAGTCTCAACTTTCCAATCAAACCACCCTGTCCGCATGCTTTTCAAGCTTGAGTTTCTTTTTTCCGCCTTGTTTGAGGTTTTCCGGATTCCAGGTTCTACACTGCGTAAGGTATGCATTCCCCCAAAGCAGTACTTGCTTGTCACAAAAAATGCATGTTCCGCTGACGGAGGAGATGTATCCATTAACACCACGACGGCCAACGACCGCTCCCAGACCAGCCTCAAAAGACTCTACGATGACAAGGCCCCTTGCTACTCTATAAAATCTGGGTGATGTGGTGTGTAGGGGCAATTTGCTGTCTTGAGCAATGTTGCATATATTTTCTTGCAGCTCAAATGCATGTCATAGGCACAGGACATCCAGCTCAAGCTACAGCAATAGCAAGTCTACAGAGCCGGATGCGACCTCAGCCCCTATTTTTCGGCAAATTAGTCAGTCGGGTTGTGCACGTTTGTGTCTCCGAGGAAGACTCCGTGTCGCAACAACCAGAGGCTTTCTTCTTGCAATAGCTGGCTTTTCAGTAGTTGTGCTTTCTTCGGATTCCTTCTAGTTCCCCTCGTAAGGAGGAAGAGGAGGCCGACCTGGCAGCTCTCATTGAGGAACAGCATAGCGACCACAGCACAGCATAGTGGACTTTGGGGCGCCTGGGAAGTAAACATGTTGAGGAGCTTTGCGAGACTGTGGACTCTGGCAGTTGACTCAGGAAGCAATGCTTTGGATTTGTGCACCAATACTCCGTATTCCCAGGAACTAGCAGCGGTCTTGGTCCGAAGTACGTGAGAAAATGTGCGACAGGCAAGCATGTGTCAGGTTCTGTTCTCTTCAAACCAAGTACTCTCAGCCAGTGTCAGCAGTGTTTGCTTGGTGAGATGGAAATTTGGTGCACATTCACGCCCCGGCCCGACCACTGTTGCAGCACCCTGAGACTGGTCAGGAAACTGGAACACAGGAAACATTGCCGGTTTTTTTATTCCCGAATGCGTAGCGAAGGGTTCGCGTTTAACTTTGGGAGGCTGAGGGTAGAGCGTTGTTCCCGTGACGTGGCTTTCGTGTTCGCGATGGTCTGCAATTGTTTGCAACCGTTTAAATGTGATCGATAGGGCCCTCCCGTTAAAGGAAGCGTTTGGATGGAAGCCTGAAGTGTCAGATTCGCGAAATAGCGTGAGAATGTCAGATGTTGATTTTGCTGCTGCAGCATTTCGTGAGATCCTCAGTTGCCTTCGCTATGGTTTCAGCGGCTGTGGTTTGAAGGGCTGGGGCTGCGAAGCTCTACTTGATGTGTTCTCTTTGATGAGATTTCCCGCCTGAGTTTTGGAGGAGTATCGACCGAAGCACCCGGCTTGGAGACCGAGAGTCCCGTACTAAGCGATCGTATTGGAGACTTGACGGGTGGCTTTCGGAGTGCGAAACCCTTGTTTTGGAGACTTGACGCGTGAGTTTTGGATGAAGTCTCGTACGAAGTGCTTGTTTGAGCTTTGGCGCAAAAGCTGGCAACTTTCTAGTGCACATGTAGTGCTGGAAGTGAATTATGGAAAGAGCTCAAAGCTTAGAACCGCATAGTAGAGATATGGTGTGGGGAGTAGGTTCTGGGAAGCCCGGGCTCAGAAGTGATATGCAGTTTGCAGTTAGTGCCTTGGTAGACGTGCGTTTGCGTGGTTCCGTGCCATTGAGTTGCGTAAATGCGGCGTGTCTTTGGTGAGCGGGGTGACGGGTGGTGTCAATAAAGGTTGGTGTCGCATGGTTGCATCCAATCTGTGGCGCACGGCGCGGCGAAAATATGCTTGTCATGTCGCTGTGCCATGCGGATTTAATTTGCGTGGCCTTGGTGGAAAGTGGGTTTGCTATTAGGGAACGGGAAAAATGCATGTGTAAGAGCGTCGTGTCGGGATGATAAGTTGTCGCAAAAAAACTTCCCGCAAAAGTGTCGTACAAGAGTGTCCGACGAGAGACGACAAGAGTGTCTTACAAGGGTGTCTGCAACTTCCAGCCTTTCAGGTTCAGCTTGTGGCATGTTCATGTCAC